TCTGCTGCATATACATCTGCCTGCCTGAAGAGGGCATCAGACCTCCCTAAAGATGGTTGTGAGCCACCATGTGGTTGCTGGGAATTGAACTCAGGACCTCTGGAAGAGCAGTCAGTGCTCTTAATGGCTGAGCCATCTCTCCAGCCCCAGCACTCGTGTGGGACATGTGTGTGTGTGTGTGTGTGCATGTGGAGGTCAGAGGTCAACCTCAGGTACCATTCCTCAGGGCCCATCCGTCTTTTAAAACATTTAATTCTGTTTCCTTATGTGTATGTTTACATGCCTCTATATGTGTTCTCTTTTGGAGGCCAGAAGTTAGTGACAGATCACCTAGAGATGGAGTCTTAGGAGGCTGTAAGATGCCTTGTGGATGTTGGGAACCACCTTAGGTCCTCTGCAAGGTGCTCTTTTTTTTTTTTTTTTTTTTTTTTTTTTTTGGTATTTTTGTTTGTTTTTGAGACAGGGTTTCTCTGTTTATCCCTGGCCATCCTTGAACTCACTCTGTAGACCAGGCTGGCCTTGAACTCATAGAGATCCATCTGCGTCTGCCTTCTGAGTGCTGAGATTAAAGGGAGATTAAAGCAAGTGCTCTTAGCCGCTGAGTTATCTCTGCAGCCCATCCATCTGTCTTTTTTGTTTGTTTAAAGGAGGGTTTCCCACTGGGACTGGGGCTTGCTGATTAATCTAGACAGGCTGGACAGTGAGCCTCTGGGACTGGAGTATTTTTGCCTCCTCGGTGCTGGGATTACAGCATGCACCTCCACATACAGCTTTAGATATGGATGTGGGGGTGGGGGGCTGAACTCAGGTCCTCCTGCTCCTGTAGCAAGCCGTCGCCTCAGCTTCTAAAGCTGCTTTCAGTTGCTGTCCGTGGCATTTATGGGCTGAAAATCCATTTTTAACCATTGCAAGAGTCCCAAATCATCTTCCAAACTGCACTGGCTAGAAAACCACCTTATCCTGCAGCAAGCAGTGCTGGAAGACTAGGGTGAGTGCACGCAGCTCTCAGCCTGAGACTGAGGAAGGCATCCCTCACCAGGGAAGGGTGCCACAAACTTGACCAAGAAGCAAGTATTCCAGACTTGTATTTAACATTGGATTCTGGTTTCTGTAACTCAAATGCCAGGACCCCACTGTCCTGTATAGCATGTGTCAGTTTTCTTGACAACAAGTGTCCCCTGTCTGTGGGTTCTCTTATTGAAACACAGGGGCCCCTGTCAGGAGCTGGGAGTCTGAAGCTCCTTTGTGATGTATGGCTTTTTAAAAAGCAGGAATAGGGTTGGAGAGATGGCTCAGCTGCTAAGAGTGCATATTGTTTGTCTTAGTTACTTTTCTATTGATAGAACAAAGCACTATGACCAAGGCAATGTATTTACTATTTATCTGTATCTTATGGGCATCAGTGTTTTGCCTGCACATGTGTCTGTGTGAGGGTGTTGGATCCCCTAGGACTGGAGTTACAGACAGCTGGGAGCTATCATGTGGGTGCTGGGAATTGAACCTGGGTCCTCTGGAAGAGCAGCCAATGCTCTTAACTGCTGAGCCATTTCTCCAGCCTCTGACCGAGGCAACTTATAATAAAAGAAAACATAATTTAGGGCTTATAGTTCAGAGGAGCATGGCAGCATGCAGACAGGCATGATGCCGAGACATCTGATCTGAAAACATGAGACACACACACACACACACACACAGTGGAGGGAGGGGAAAGGAAAGGACTAAGTGGAATGGCATGGGATTTTTGAGACCTCGAAGTCAGATCCCAGTGACACACTTCTTCCAACAAAGCCTCACATCCTTATCCTTCCCAAACAGTTCCATCAACTGGGGTCCAAGCATTCCAACATATGAGTCTGTGGGGGCCATCTTTATTTGAACCACCACTGTCGTAGAGACCTGAGTTTGGTTCCCAATACTTGCACCAGCGATAACTTCAGCTCCAGGGAATCCACACTTTTCTTCTGGGTTCTGAGGTACCTGCACTCATGTGTAGAAATCTACATGGATACTCACACATAGACGTAATTAAAAGTAAAATAAATGTTTTTTTAAAAGGCAGGATGTGGGCTGGGCAGTGGTGCCACGCACGTGCCTTTAATCCCAGCGCTTGGGAGGCAGAGGCAGGCGGATTTCTGAGTTCGAGGCCAGCCTGGTCTACAGAGTGAGTTCCAGGACAGCCAGGGCTACACAGAGAAACCCTGTCTCAGGGGAAAACAAAACAAAACAAAACAAAACAAAAAAAAACATGGAACCTGGGAATGCATGACAGCTTGCTTCTTGCTCTCAGGTCCCATAGTCTCTGTCCTAATCACCTGTGTCCCCATCTCACAGGAGTGTCAGTAACTACATTTATGATCTTTCAATGTACTCCCAGCTTGTTAGCAACATCCAAATTCTATCTTGAGATGGAGATGCTCTCAACACCCCTTTGGACCTTACTATCCCTAACCCTGGCGTGCACTCTGCAGGAGTTTGCCAATATCCTCTGAAAGTTCTCTTCTCCCCATCCCCCTTCCTTCTGACATGCCCTTGTCATGCATATTAGTAGCTTTTTGTATTACAAATGCAACTTAAGAAGGATTCATTTTGGCTTGCAATTTGAGGGTACAGTCCGTAAGTCCATCGAACTAGGGAAGGCATGGTGTTTCTCAGGTCACTTTGTGTGTGTGTGTGTGTGTGTGTGTGTGTGTGTGTGTGTGAAATTTATTAGAGTGGCTTGCAGGCTGTGGTCCAGCTAGTCCAACAATGGCTGTCTATCAAGTACAAGAATCTATCCTTCCTTCCTTCCTTCTTTCTTTCTTTCTTTCTTTTTTTTTTTTTTGTGTGTGTGTGTTTTTGTTCTTCGAGACAGGGTTTCTCTGTGTAGTCCTGGCTGTCCTGGAACTCACTCTGTAGACTAGGCTGGCCTTGAACTCAGAAATCCACCTGCCTCTGCCTCCCAAGTCCTGGGATTAAAGGCGTCTGCCACCACTGCCTGGCTCATTCTTTCTTTTTAAAGATTTATTTATTTTATGTATGTGAATACACTGTCACTGTCCTCAGACACACCAGAAGAGGACATTAGATCCCATTACAGATAATTGTGAGCCACCATGTGATTGCTGGGAATTGAACTCAGGACCTCTGGAAGAGCAGTCTCTCCACCGAGCCATCTCTCCAGCCCCATTGCGTGCATATATATATATATGAATCTGGAAGAAGTGAGCTTCTAAAGCCAGTGAAAGAATGGAGTTGCCATTGAGAGCGAGGGCAAGCAAGCAAAGAGTAAAAGCTTCCTTCTATGTCCATTATATAGGCTGCCAGCAGAAGGTGTGGCCCAGATTAAAGGCAGATCTTCCCACAAAAGATCTAGATTTAGGATGGGTCTTCCCTCCTCAAATGATTTAATTAAGAGAAATCCCTCACAGGAGTGCCCAGCTGCCAGCTAGGCTTTAGTTAACTCTAGATGAAGTCACGTTAACACCAAGAAGAACCATCACACCTTTTTAATCAGTTTGGAGCCTAACTCCTGGGGGTTGGGGCGGGGTCCGCTGCCCAGGATTGAGACTGGGTGTTGTCTGTCCCTCTCTCCTTAACCCAAAGGAGATAGATAATCCTCTGGGTACATCCAGAGCTTTGTCTCCAAGGTGATTGGAATTCTCATCAGGTTGACAATCAGATTAACCATCACGTGGGATGCAGGGAGTTTGCATTTCTGAGATTTCCGGGATCCTGGGGTCTCCGGCTCCTCCACGATTAAGAGGGAAGGCAGCCTTAGCACTGAGGCGTAGGCCAGAGAAAGCCAAAAGGCCTGTGTTGCCGGGAGGAGCATGGTTTCGGGAGGGGGGTGGCTTCAGGAGGAGGGTGGCTTCGTGGCTTCGCAGAGATAAGAGTGCCAGGAACTGGGCCAGGGTGAGAGATGTCTGTCCTAGGCCTGTGAGTTTTCTTCCTATCCTAGTGGAGGGAGGTGACTCTTTATCTTGGTCTTTGGAAACCATCCCTCCCCAGCAACTCTCTCCTCCCTATTTCTTCCTAAATCCTGGGCCTTTCTGATCCTTCTCCTCCTACTGGGATCCCCACTGTCCCTATCCCACGCTTGGCTTGTAACTCTTTAGATACTGGGCACCCCATTCTCCATGACAAATTCCAAGGCGAGGCCAGGCACTTCTCAGCTGACGTGCCAGTTTGGCTACACCCCTTCTGCCAACGTAAAGTGTGAATATTTCCTGCACTGAACCGAAACCGCTCACCAGAAGGAGTGAGGCTCCGAGCCAGTACAAAGGGAGAAGGAGGAAACACCTCCCCCTCACCCCCACGATTAGGTGCTGCTTGAAGCTTTACCCTCGCTGGGTCCTGATAGCTCCTATCTCTGCTGAGCCATGCATCCACCCGTCTCCTGGAGCCACAGGCCATTTGGCTTTCCCTCTGCCTACGACTCAGTTCTCATGCTGCCTCTTCCCCGCAGCGTCTCTAGAAACCCGTTCACTTCGCTCTTAGTAAACCTCCCTGCCTGGTCCCCTCCTTGTTCACGACTTACTGTTCCCAAATTAGCGAGAGTCAATTTTGTGCAACACGAACCTGGTCACGTCTGTTAGCTTAGCATCCTTCCCTGGGCCTGCGCTCTTCCTCCCGGTGCCCATGTTGTCCCTCCCTGATTCTTCCAGCTCGTGGCTCCCATGGAAGCCTTTGGCTGAGCTTGCCTTGGGGGAAGGGTCACTGTGTATGAGGCTACTGTCCCACAAAGGCACCCACTACACCCCCAAGCATCGACCCAAGGGATGCCCTAGTCCTGCGTCAGGATCCTGGCAGAGACTCAACTGACCGTACATGTTTCTGGGGCTAATTGATTCTGGGCTTCCAGCACGGAAGGCCGAACAAAAGGGGGCCGGTCGTGCCTGGCACTACGTGCAGGGTCCCGCTGTATTGCGGGCGGGGAGCTCAGCTACAGCACCGGGACTTCGGGGTCAGTAGGCAGGGGCGGGGAAGCCGCGGCCGCGCCCTCCTGGCCACTCCCCGGCCGGCGGTGGGTGGCGCGCACTCGCATATGTCCTCCGTGCCACCACGGTCGCCCACCCCGCGGGCCCCCAAGATGAAGAAGGACGAGTCTTTCTTGGGCAAGTTGGGCGGCACACTGGCAAGGAAGAAGAAGACCAGGGAGGGTGAGTGTGCCCCCGCGTCCCTTTGGCGCCAGCCGGGTGCCAGCGGTGTCCCCCATGTGTTCGCTCCCTGTCCGCCTCGGCGGCGCCAATGAGCCCTCCCGTCGCGCTCAGGCTGCGCGACCTTTGGGACAGGCCGGTCCCTGTCCCTACAACCTTTGCGGTGCTGGCCCGGTGCCCAGGACGAGCGTCCTGCTCTGGACACAGGCCTAGCAAGCTACGGTTCCTGTGCCCATCCTTGTCCTGTGACACTCTCGTCGCAGTGATTGGACACATGCTGGTGGAGAGGACAGGCTGCTGACTGCGTGATACCTGCAAGCATGGCTCGGTCCCTAAGCTGGGAGTCAGTGAAAGGGCACAGGACACACAGGCCAGGAGCCTGGGAAGCCTGGAACCATTGCCGAGGAGAGATGGGGCGAGGGGCGGGGGGAAGGTCATGCCCCCTGCGCAGGAAAGTAATTTTAAAAAGACTTTTACTTTTTAAACTTTTAAAAAACAAAACTGCAAGGGATGTAACCTCTGCGCCCTGGTCAGTGCCTTAAGGTACCGAAGTTCCCAGCCCTCCCCAGCCTTCCCCTTGCAGAAACATTCCGAATTTTCTATTGTTTTGACCTGGAGGCTCTTGCCCTAGGGCTGAGATTCCGGGCACTCACCGGGAATGGGAGGGGCTTGCTGAGGAAGGACAGGTAGAGAGAAGCTTCAGAGATAGACTTCCTGGGGATCATCTGCTAGGGACCACGTAGTTAGGGAGTCCTGAGGGTCTCCTCAGGCCACTGGAGCCAGACTAACTCCTAGAAAGCCTGCCTGGGCCTCCAGGGACAAGCCCTGCCTAGGAGGTGACTGATAATCATCCCGTGGGCCCGAAGGACAGGGATGATGTATTTACTCTTGAGGGAACCTCCAGGCCCTAAATTATAGGCAGACTCATTCTGGCCTTTCAAGGTATCTTGAAAGGCAGGGCATGTGAGGAAAAGCAGAGCTTGTCTGGAAGTGTGATATTACCTACACTTTGATACTGTGGCCCCCACACCCTGCCCAGACTTGCCTTCCCAAGTCTTCAACCCTAGAATGCCCTCTACCAAACTAGACTGTGCAGTTCCCTGAGGGCAGGTAGGCCTGGTCTTCTTCCTTAGGATTCATCCTAGGGTTTATTTCTAAGCAAATGGGCTTTTTTGGTTGTTTCTGAGCTGGCGCTTTGCAGTGTCACTAAGTCTAGACACAGTCCTGGATTCAAGTGATCCTCCTGCCTCAGCCTCACCTGTGTCAGGAACTGCAGGTGTGTGCCACCCTTTTGTGGCTCACCATCTATGGGACTCTCATGTGGTTTGATCACGTCAAGGCCTTGGAAAGTAGAAGAGAGGCTGAGTCTTTCAGGGCCCTGGGAATGGATGCCATCATGTAGAAACCTGTGGGAAGTCCCATGATCCTAAGCTGTAACTGTCAGAGGGCCCAGGGATGGGGGGGGGGGGGAATGTTGGAGATGTTGGAGAGAAAATCTAAGAAAGAAAATCTTTCACAGAAAAGCATGTGTAAGAGTGTGAATGGTTACAGCTGCTGTGTGTTTCATGTGTGTGCACACACATGTACAGGCCTGAAGTCAATGCTGGGTGTCTTCCTCAGTTTCTCACTATTATCTATGTATCTACCATCTATGTATGTATGTATGTATGTATGTATGTATCATCTATGTATGTATGTATGTATGTATGTATGTATGTATCTATCTATCTATCTATCTATCTATTTATCTATCTATCATCTGTGTATCTATAGTCTATGTATCTACCTATGTATCTATCATCTATGTATGTATGTATGTATGTATGTATGTATCTATCATGTATGTATGTATGTATGTATGTATCCATCATCTATGTATTTCGTCTATCTTTCTACTTACCTACTATGGCTGGCCTGGAACTTATAGACCAGGCTGGCTTGGCACTTAAGAGACCTGCCTGGTTTGGCCTTCTATGTGCTGGTATTGAAAGTGTGTACTTCTACACTGGGTTCCTTCTTGTTTTTGGAGGCAGAGTCACTCACTGAACCTGGAGCTCTTTGACTGAGATCAGCAAGCCCTGGGGCCCTCTGTCCCCACGTCCCCTGATGTGAGATTACAGGAGAACAACATCTGGCTTGGCTTCTGACTGTTTTTAAAAATCGCCAGTGCTGGGGATGGAACTCCGGTCCTCATGTAAGCCCTTTGCCAACTGAGCTGCCTTCCCTGCTCCTGTTGCAGCCTTTCCAAGATGGTACTTAGACTATTGGAACACGAGGGCTGCACCAGTGAGTGATGAGCTGGCCTCGGTTTCCAATTGTAAGTGCTTCTCTGCTTTGCTTTTTGAGATCTTGGGTATCCAGAAGATGGATGGCTGGTCTAGCCCAGTTTAAATGTACCTGGAACTCCAAACAACATCTCCCCCTGCCTGCTGCTTCTGTTGATATTGAGATCCCATGAGTTAGCTTGGCCCTCTGCCTTCGGGTCTCAAGGCTGGAGTACCTGTCACCCTTATAACCAGAAAGCCACAAACCCTAATTGGTCTCTGAGGCAGGAACGGAGGGAAGGCTTAGCCTCGGAAGGGAAGGGCTGAGGAGCTTCCTTGTGGTCCTCTGGGGAGTGGAGAAGGAACGGAGGGGCTAATGTGAACACTGTGTAATGAGGTCTTGAATAATTGAGCGCTGAGTGCTGCCAGTATTTCTGCAGACCTTGTTGCCTTGGCAACTGGCCCCCCTGACTGCTCTTGGCCTTGACTTTGGGCCATGGGAGCTTATGCACCGATGCCTACTAGGAGATGACCACTGGGAGGACATGGGGCTTCCCAGCCTGCCAGTCGGAACACTTAGCTGTGTTTCCTCCTTTGTTAGAAAGTCCAGGGTGGACTCTGGACATTTCCTGAGCTGAGGACACCAGAAGGGGGGAGGGGATGGCTGGTGAAATTCAAGGTTTGGGGTCATATGGGCATTCGACCCCACCCTACCTTGCAGAGTGGCAGAGAAGGGAGGGACCAACTGGGACAAATGCTTTGTCCCATTCCAGGAGGTGGGGGTACGATGTGGGGTGAGCTAGGATACCCAGTACAGGAAGTGTCTAAGAATGAACAGGGCGTGATTCAGCCCAGTGGAGACTTTATGGTGTCACGGGGTGGCCCGGTCAGAAAAGGGAAGTATGACTAACTGCACATTGGAAAACGGAAGGGACCGCCTACAACACTCAGGCCTCCCTATGGGGAGTCCGAGTCCTGGCTCTGAGAGATCAGGAGCCAGCTTAACCTCTGGAGGTCAGGGTGTGTGTGGGTGTGGGGGGGTGAGGGTTGGTGCTGAGGAAAGATGCCCCTATATGGGGTGTCTTTCATCTATCGTCTATCTGTTCTATCAATTGTGTATGTATGTATGCATGCATGTATGTATGCATATATATATGTATGTATGTATGCATGTATGCATGTATGGTCTATGTATCTACTCTAACAATTGTCTGTCTATCTATCTATCTACCTATTTATCCATCCATCCATCCATCTGTTCATCCATCCATACATCTATCTATCTATCTATCTATCTATCTATCTATCTATCTATCTATCTATCTATCTGCATGTACTCTGGTTACCTAGCAAAATGGAGTGAAGACTGGAGTTTGCCCTTGATGCCGCAATTCTTCCAGGCAGGGTGGAACTTCATTTCAGGTTTAACAAGTTTTCATCTCGAAGCCCATAGCTGACATTAGGGCTGCTCTCACAGTAGGGCTGCTCTCACAGTAGGGCTGCTCTCAAAGTGTATAATGAAGGATTCCTGCTGCATTGCCTGTCTGGCCCTCCCTTCCCCAAGGCCCCAAAACTTAGCAGACACTGTAGCTGCCTTCAGACACAGCAGAAGAGGGCATCGGATCCCATTCCAGATGGTTGTGAGCCACCATGTAGTTGCTGGGAATTGAACTCAGGACCTCTGGAAGAGCAGTCAGTGCTCTTAACAGCTGAGCCATCTCTCCAGCCCTGATTTTGGCTTTTTGAGACAGAGTTTCACTGTGTAGTCTTGGCCATCCTGGAACTCACTCTACAGATCAGGTTGGCCTCAAACTCACAAGAGATCCAACTGCCTCTGCCTCCCGAGTGCTGGGAGCCACCCTTGCCTGGCAACTTGTAGATTTTTTTTTTTTATATATATTTTTTAACAATCTCCACAGTTTTGCCTTTTCTAGAATCGTGAACTGGAATTCTAGTGCTTGACGTGAGGCTTTTCATATTGGCTTCCTTCACTCACTGTCCAGCTAAGCTTCCTCCCTGTGTCGATGGGCCACTATGCCTGGCTCATGCAGTGTTGAGAATCCAACCCTGAGCCTGGTGTATGTATGCTAGGTGAGCGCTCTACCCACTGAGCTACATCCCCAGCCTTAAACTTCTGAAATTTACTCAGTGCTGTGAAAGAAAATATAATTCAACCAACTGTCAGATGTCCCAGGGGTTCCTAGTAGGAAAGGAGGAAGGGAAGCGAGTGTCCCCTGAGACAGAGATCCTAGGGGAAGTGTTACTCCTTGATCTGAGGGCATCAGGAAACAGGTGGCAGACAGCTGGTTGTGTACTGGGGACCTCAGGAGCCAACCTGGCTCAGGTCCATATTCAGGACAGCAAGGTCTGGTTGGGGGAGGGGTGAGTAGATGTGGGGACGGAACCTCTTGGGGATACATAGCTAGATTTGAGGAGCTGGTGTTCCAGCTGGAGCTAGTGACCTGTTGTAATAATGTACTGTGATAAAACATTGATCAAAAATAACTTGAGGGAAGAAAGAGTTTATCTGACGTCTACTTTGTGGTGGTTTGAATATGCTTGGGCCATGGGAAGTGGTACTATCCTGTGTGTCCTTGTTGAAGGAAGTGTGTCACTGTGGGGGTGGGCTTTGGGGCTCCTACTGCTCAAGCTCCACCCAGTATGGAAGAGACCTCCCCCCTCCTGGCTGCCTATAAAAGAGCCCTTTGCTGCTGCCTTTGGATCGAGATGTAGATAGAA